TTTGCAGCTGTGTTACAGCTCTGCCAGGCTGAGCCTCCTCCCCTCCCATGTGGTGGTGCTGCCCTTCCAACAAGTGGCCTTCCTTCTAGGGACCTGCAGTCGGGACTCATCCTGTGAAAGCACAACCCAGGAGCAGCTGTGTATGTTCTCAGATATTTCAACCTGATGAGAAAGAATAAAAATGAGTCTTTTTAATTTGAGGTAGCGAATGTGCTGCTTGGTTCTCTCTGTTGTAAAGTACCTTCTATTAATGTGACTGTTAAGATAATCATGTTTTTAGATGAAAGCAGAAGACTAAAATGATGTTTCCAAATGAAGGTTGTTTTGATTTATTCCCTGTATGCAGTATGCATAATTTTACTTCCCTCACTCTTTGAAGCAAGATTTAATTTTATGGTTTTGGCTGTGGCTGCTCCTGTGCTGTGTCCTACCTATGAGCTACTTAATGTGCAACATCGAGGAGTAAATTAATGCAGGTCCACAAAGAGAGCCCTTCGATTTGCTAATTGCTTGTAGAGCGGAGGGTATTGTTGTGTAGAGAAAGACTGTTCATTAGAGATTGAGTAGCTAATTTTTCCCTACTTAATTTTATGGTTTTGGCTGTGGCTGCTCCTGTGCTGTGTCCTACCTATGAGCTACTTAATGTGCAACATCGAGGAGTAAATTAATGCAGGTCCACAAAGAGAGCCCTTCGATTTGCTAATTGCTTGTAGAGCGGAGGGTATTGTTGTGTAGAGAAAGACTGTTCATTAGAGATTGAGTAGCTAATTTTTCGCTACAAGTGAGTCTCACATTTTTGCAGCTTGCCTATCGGTCAAGGCAGACAGCTCCTGTTCAGCCTGCAGAGAAGAGTGCAGGGCTGTTGATGCCATTGGTGTCAACACCTCCATTGTAACCTCCACGTGGCTTTAGTTTCATCCAGCCTGCCCCAGCATTTATGGTGAAGGCTGACTTTTGGAAGGCAGACACAAGACAAATTATTGATGCAGGGAAGCAAGCTAAACAATTCAGAGGTGTCTCCTGAGGAGCCGAACTGGTTCCTCTCCTTGGAAACCATTACTGCTCCCCTTTCAGCCCTGAGCTGCTGTATCCCAAGCAAGACCAGAGCACAGGTTATCTTTCCTTTCCTGCCACTCTCTTTTGAGGATGACAGTAAAAATGACAGTAGATTAGACTGTGTGTTGTCATGTAAGATGAATGTTTTGAATTGACAAATCCTTTTTTTGAAGGCTTAAAGTAATTGACTGAATACTCAAGAGGATTTTTTTTCCCCTTGATTTTCTTTTACCTGGTTGTGCTGCCTTCAGTGGGCAAATTGGACTTTACGTGTGTTTGTATATCTGATTCTTAAATTCAATATCTGTTTACTTATCAGATTCTCTTAATGCTTGAGCTCAGTGATCCGTGGGAATTTAACATATGTATTAAGTAATGAGAATATCCTTGGAGCTTTAGGTTAACTTTTGTGTGTAGTCTGAAAATTCACCATGCACGTCTTTCCTTCTGAGAGAGGTTCCTAAGATACCAAGGCAAATGTGATCAGTCAAAACCAGAACTGAGTTACATATAGGTAGGACATTGCTTTTCCCAGTGTGAATTCAGAGGTGGGACTGGCAAGTTGCTCCAGCAGAGAGCCCTCCCTTGCCTGCTGGGGCAGGGGCCAGGGACTGGCACACCATCACCTTCTCAGCCACCCTAAATGGCTCAGGTTCGTTGCTCATGCTTTTGTTGGCTGCAAGTGGCCAGAGATGATTGACCCAAGAAATCCAACAGTTCCTTCCTGAGAAGGTAAATTCTAAGAAACAACACTGTTTCTTTCAGGTCTTTCCTAGTAAATGCCCAAAGAGGGGTTGGGTGCAGGGGCTCTGAATGCTGGCAGCTACTGCTCCGGGGCCCTCTGCAGCTCCTTCCTTCCATGGCTGTGGTGGCTGGCAGCTCCTCTGAGGCACTCTGATTAAGTGAGGTGTGGGGATAAGTTCAGAGCTTAAATTCTTCTTCATAATTAAAAATGTGTGCATCTGTCATGCTGCTGGTGATTAGGTTGTATTTTCCTGTGGCCTAGAAGGAATATGGCAGTGAATCACTTTGCAAGCAGCTGTCCTCCAACAGCTGAGCTAGGTTCAATATTTGATTTAAGCTAATAAAAAGTCTTGGGTAGGGCTAATGTTTACAAACTGGATGTGATAAAGCATTCAGATCATCTGTTTTGCAGCCAGGCGAGAGCAGGCACAGGGGACCCCATCAAAAGTTTGGGCTTTGTCTTGTTTTCTGTGTCTGCCTCGATACACGGGCATGAGCTGGGAGCTGGAGGTTGGGTGGGTCCCTGCTCCAGTTTGCCAGCCCTGCTGGAAAAGCGTCCTTATTTCCAGCTTTGTCATTGTAACACACTGTAGAACTCAGTGCATTAAGTATGTCCCTTTTGCTCTTTTGTGAGACTTGTAGTCAAATTGTACATTTAAAAATCTTTTAATCTTCATAAATCATTTCTTCCAGCAGTCTAGTAAGTTTAGTTGCTGTTCTCTGAATTCCCACTAGTCAGCTACTACTAGTAGCTGCTCTTTGCCTTTCAGATGAGCTGCCTAGAAATAAATGCAATGAAGAAAACCTACCTTGTACTTTAATTCTTATCTGATTGCTTCTTCGAATCATATTGATCTGCTATTATCATGCTGCTGTTTTCAACTTGCTGTCCAGGTTTGCCTCTAGGTCTCTGCTGGCAGAGCAGCTTGAGAGGTTTGTATTTGGTTATTTTCCCCAAGCCATATATAAGATAAATTATAGAATATTTCTTGCTTCTATTTCCATTTTCTCCCATTCCTTTTTTATTATTTTCCTCTCCTGTCTAAAAGTTTTTCCTGAATTACAATGTGCTGAGGTCTTTTCTATCTTTTTGTTTTTTCCCCCTGAATTTTGTCAAAGTCCTGTACTTTAAAATTCTGCTAAACACGCTCCTGGGGTGCTGTTGTCTTGATGTTATAAAGAAAAACATTTCCATTGTGAAGGTGACCAAAGCTTGGTACTGTTTGCTGAGAGAGGTTTTGGAGTTTGCCTCCTTGGAGATACTGAGAGCCCAGCTGGCCAAGAACCCTGAGCATCCTGATGGAGCTGACCCTGCTCTGAGCAGCGGATTGAACTGGCCTCTTCCAGTCTGAATTATTCTGTGATTCTGTGGAAATCTTCACTAACAGGAGGCTGAACAAAGAGAGGACCCTCAGATTCAGGAATGGTAGCTGCTGTGAGCAAATATGTAATTCTCAATAGCTTTTTACATCTAGTTTAGGATAGGCCAGTAGTTCCCATCTGAAGGTCATCTTCATATAGATTAGGCTAATAAATATACAGAAAAGTTGGTGTTTCTTTTGATAAAAATAGTCAATTGGTCTTGGGAGTGTTTTGCAAAGGCTGTGCTAGCATCCCTCCTAAATAACATCTCTGAGGGGATGTTTACTAATTCTTCTCCATGTGACTCTTTTCTGGCTGCAGCCTGCTGGTGTCATTCTCCCTGATTCAATAGGAGTGGGGGAAAAAAAGTCTTTCCCAGATGTCTGCACATTTATATTTTCCTGATGCTTCAGCATCAAACTTGGTGATAATTTAATTTTTCCTTCTCACTTGTTTGTACATGCACTCTGTGTTTGGTTGGGACTGGCATCTCCCGTGGTGTTTAATGAGTGTGTTTCATTTCCCTGTGCCAGGTCTCAGGCTTGTATTAAAACCCTTTTCATCTTTTTTGAGTGTTTGTTCCTTAAATAATCTCACATCATCCCAGGCCCTGCACAGCAAGACTCTGTGACTTTTTCAGTTTCCACTGAGCTCTGGGACTAGGGAAGACTTGAACTGGTTGCAAAATTGAAGTTCTGCTGTGCTGAAGCCTAAGATGGTAATTTTTTTGTTTGCTTGCCTTGCAGTGCAGTTAGCCTGCAAAGCTGAATGTTTTCCTTCTCATTGCAATCAACTGTTTGCTGTTTGTCTCTGGTTTGGATGTAGCACTCAAAAGACCCATTTAATGTATGGTGACAGGTTGTTAGAGGGACTCCAGAGGGTTTTAATGAATATCTACTTGAAATTTTGTGAAATTGTTTGTTGAAAGTTTGGTGGGTTTTTTTAGTTCTGGTTTTGTTTATTTGCATTATTTAAATGAGCTTCTCTGCCATCAGTTGTGACTTTGTGCTAACCAGAGAAAAGCTGATTTCAGGCTAGCAAAGTGGTGTGGAATAATAGATGTGGGAAGTAATAGCACTCAAGTAGTATATGTGGCTCCTCTTAACGATCTCCAAAATATCAATTTTGTATAAAATCCTTTTTCAGAAACAAAGCTCTGTGAAAGATCGTCCTCTGAGTCAAGTTCCCATTTCTCCCCAAATTATACAGGGATAACATTTCTGCTCTGGTTTGAGATTCTTTAAATTTGAAATTTCTTCTAAAAAGAAAAAGAAAAAGGTCTTGTGTTGGGATACGTTTTCTCACAGGAATTGAGTGTGGTTCTGTTACAGAGATTTTATTGGTATTTTGCAAAGATTTTGAAGGCTGTCAAACCCAAATTTACACCTCTGAACTTCTTGAAGTTATCTTGAAGCACCCAGACCTTTCAGAAGCTGTGGAGCAAGGTTGCTCTTTCTTTTTTTTTAGATAAGCTTGGCAAAACTTGGTGGGTGTTGGACCTCTCTTCTTCCAAAGAAATGGAGAGAAAGCATAATTTTCTGACTGGGCCATGGGATTGAGATTTGAGATAGCTAATCTAATGGAACTCTTCTCTGCAACAGTCCTATTCTTTCTTGTGGATGTAGGCTTCAGGCTCTTTGGAACAGGATTGTCTGATGGAATGAGATGCTGATAGAACATAACAAGACCCAACACTTGCAATTGCTTTTCAATGCCATGAAAATCATGGTGCCCTTGGTAGCTTTGTTCGTTTGAGGGGAAGGAGTGCCATCTTCTTAATCTTCCAAAAACATATCCTAGACTTCATTTTCTGTTTTGTTTTCTGTTTTGTCTTGAAGGCTCAGCTGTCTCAAGTTCTGGAAGAAGTGGGAAATCATAAGCAAAGAGCAGAGATGGTAAGTGTTAATCTTTTGGTTTTTTTTAAAATTGTACAGAGCAGTAACATATGCAAAGTTCAGTTCATTTAAACAGTAGATCAGCTCCAAATATTTAGAAATGAATAGCAAATAATCCTTCTTTAAGTTTGTATTGCTACTGCTGGTCTTGGCACTCTCTGCCTCCATACTCACCTGGAACAAGTGTTGGATGATATCTACTGATCTGTCTTCCTTCCCTGGTAGTTCCTTTCTCTTTGTTAGCAGTTCTAGATCACAAGCAAACAGTTGATTTCATACTGAATTAACTGTGCAAAGAACAAGCAGATGAGGTGTGACAAAATCACCACAAACTAGTTTTTTGTAATATCTATTAATTTTCTGCAGGGTTTGTCTATATGATTAGCAGTTCCTCCAAGGACCAAAAATAATAGAGGCTACAAAACCAGGCAGTAGGGACGTTTATGTGTAGTTTCATGACTATGTATAGGATTCTTCATACTTGGGAATAAATAAGGTGTCAGCTTTAAGCTGTTTGGTGAACATATTAAGCTGTTTAGTGTTCCTGCTAATAGGCAAGTGAGGAGATTCCTGCAACTTCTTCTAATCACAACAAGGAAGTAAGCAGTGTCCAAGATGTAGGCACTCATCCTGTAGATGTGTTTTACACTGGATTGATTTTATTACTGATGGAAAAGTGGGCGTGCATCACTGGCTAGAAAGTAGTTGCTAAACAGACATCTGGTCTAAAATCTACATCATAAACTGCCATGCCCACACTGGTCCTTTTAGACTTCTGCTTAAGTCTTTTAAGGCACTGAAGGGCAGACTGGTGTGCCCCAGCTGTACTATTGAGGCACCTATTAACAGGTTGCCATGCATCTGCTAGGATCTGTCTATGTTTTTTAATTTGTTGTCCTTGGTGTTTCAACATCACATTCTTCGTAATGAGTGTGTTAGTTGTTTCTGGTTTTGGGGTGAACTTACACTGAGAGCAAACATTTTTGTATGCTCAGTCACTGTCTATAGTCATGCAGGTCAGAACTGATGTTTCCAAAGAAAACTGAATTAATCCTATTTACCATCTGATCTCATTCCATGCTGCCTTGTTATAGTTTTAATTTTTATACAATCAATTTTGCATTGTGTTCACTGGATGTATCAGAGGATAAATTTGCTGTTATGTTTTAGATGTTCTGGTGGGTTTTGTTAAACATTTCAAAGTTTTTCTTTTTGGTTCATTAAGCCTGGATTTTGAGTCGTTTGCCTTCAAAAGTTTGTTGTATTAAACAGGCTAGCAGAGAGCTGGGAAAAACTGGAACTTCCAGTAATAAAGCATTAATTGGTGTTATGTATCATCCATCAGCAGAGGATAAAGTAGCAGTCACTGTTCAGTGCCTATTCCCAAGGGTTCTCAATAGAAAACTGCAGGTCTTGTGATCTTCCAGTAAATCTTACATCAACCTCACCTGGATAAGCTGCATCCTGAAGTACTTCAGACTATGGGTTACAGATTCTGAGGTGTGGGCTTTCCTCAGCATTTTAAATTTTGTTCAGTAAATACAGGAAAATTGCTTCATACAGGGGAAGAGAGATTGTTCTTTTTTGTGTGTTCTGAAGGGAAGGGAAACCTGACAGTATAGGTCCTTCTTTTCACTGGTGGTAGATGGTTTTACATCCCCAGGTGAAATCTCCCTGATAGGGAAAGGTGTGTCACCTATTCTGCAGTGTTGGTGATGGCCAAAGTCTGTCCCCTTTGGATGGGGCTGTTCATTAGCTGCCTGCCCAAATGTGCCAATGGTTACACTGTCAGCCCCACTCCAACAAAATATTCTTGGTGCTTCCCACCTCTCCAGATTAGTGTCTCACCTGGGTGGCCTTATTTCAAGACTACTTTAAAGCTGATGCTTCAGCAATTGTTTGCCTGATTTGCATTCCTGGCATCTCACCTTCCTTTTCATCCCTCTCCCCCCTTTTCACTTGTGATCCACTGCTTGTTAGTTTGATGTTGAGCCTTGGTGGCAAGGGGGGTGCAGGGGGGCTCGTCCTGCTCTGAGTGCTGGCAGATGTGGATATTGCTTTTCATCAGTCATTCTGCAAACCTGCTTATGGCCCTAAGTGAAACGGAATAAACACCTGTCAGGTGCTATCATACAGTCTGATGGGTCTTTGGGCTGCTTCTGGGATAAACCTCCATAGAGGTGACATCTCTCCTGTCACCCTGAAAAGCCCTAATGGCTTTGCCACCATCCCCAGAGCACTAGAAATGAAGGGATTGGAACTAGCTGAACTAGCTGATTGGATCTCCCTGATGAGTTTGATGGTGTTTCTTGTATACAATGAGGAGCATCTTAGATGCCCTAGTAAATAATTCATTATTTACATAGCAATATTTTAAAGTAAAATAGTTGTGGGAGAAATCTGATAAGATCATGGCCTCAATAAGACATTATCTGTCTCCTTGGGAGGAAAGGGCCTTAGTTCAGGGAATTATGTCCATGGGAACAATCCAAGATGAAGGGTGGTCTGAAGACAAGGTCTTGCTAGTGGAAAGGGAGATGGACTTGCTGCCTGGCCACCATTGATCAGCCCAGCACATGATGTCATTGCTTGTCAGCTGAAGTGAGTTTATTGCTGGAAGAGAAAAATAAAAAAGAAAGAAAATAAATTTAAACATCTTCAGCTAATTGCAGTTGACAAGACAAAAGCAGTTTGACTTTCCAGTATTAATTAGCAAACCCATACTAATTAGCTTGTATAAGCACAATTCATGCTTCTTTCCC